GGGACACTTCCCCTGTGCTGTACGTCATGTCCTTTGAGTGTTGAATGCATTGAGTGAATGACTGAACGCTTGGCTATTGAGTGAGACATGTATTACTGTCTGACAGAGTATTACTGAATTCAATGCTAATTATATGTAGTATTACTTCAAATCGCAAGCATTTGAGTCGGACGTTAAAAATGGCCCGATTTATACACCTTTGACCACTCAATTAGATCTAGTTATTTAAACACTTAAATTATGGTAAGTTTAGACACCAATTGAGTGTTATATAGATGTGTGAGAAATGAAGGCATGAATGAAAAAGATGTGAGTTTTGTGGATAAGAGAAATATGAGGTCATTGTTAGAGTGATTGTATGTTTCATATTGTCATACATTGTGTGCATTTGACGATACAGTGTGTCTGCCATACAGTGTGTCACACATTCTGTACATATTGTCATCGATTTTGTTGTTTCAAAACTCATCATTAATTATGTGTTTGTGTTTTAAGGCTATCATTGTTTGCCATTGAAATACAATTAACGCTTCAATTCATACCTCAAATTATTGTCTCATTTGTCACATAGATTTCAATTTCAAAATGGATGAGACATTCAAGACATTAGTTAAATGTGAGTTTGATTTTGCGGATCAAATGATATGCAATGAATAGCCAAATAATTCAAACCACGTTTTAAAGGTCGGGACGTTTGACACTTTGATAAAGTGTTTGGATTTGTAGCGACTTTTGAATTGCAATTACAATATTGAGCCGAAGATTATCTCCGAAGTGATGGCCAGTCGTAAGAACAATGGAAACAAACATCACCCGAGAAAACATCCGCCGAGCGATCAGAACAATAGGAGACGTCTATCCAAACAGGAAGAGATCGATTTGACGGTCGAAGGCATTGATCTCAAAGATGAGACAATCAATGGCAGCGATAAAAGCAATAATTGGACGAATAATAGCGAGACAAGTGTCGCGCCGACCATTCATGTCAACGCCGTCGAAGACAAGTGCGATCACAAGCTATCGGTATTTTTGAGCCATCGCTTCGTTGTTTAAATCTATGTCTCACTCATTGTTTATCTTCAGATCGAAAAAGGAAGCAATGATTTAAGCGAAGGATTGGATGAAAATAACGTTAAAACTATGCAGAAAATGGATTCAGATTCCGGACAATCACTAAATGGCATACAAAGGGATACTCTATTAACAGAAGATAACAGAGAGAAAAAGGTTTTGATTATTATAATGAGTGTTAAGTTATTATAATAAACGTTGTATTGAATAGAGAGGCAAACACTTAGCCCGGGCTGAAGCGGTTCGAGACACGAGCGCTTCTCCGCCGCCCACTCAGGACTCTGATGGCGAGGATAAGAGCTCTCATATGCTGGCAGTCGTGTCTTCAAACTTTCAGGTATTTATAACTATTTGAATAGCCTTTTGAGCTCTAATTGATTTGAAACAATAAAAACAGTCACAAATTGGGTCTTCAATGGGTTCTCAAAATTCTAAACATAAGATCAAATCTCAAGAAAATTCTTTGGGAAGTGTTGACAGAAGTTCTCCTTGTCTTTCAAGAGGTAGTGAGAAATGTTCACAAATGTTATGTAAAACGTTAACTGAAACCGAATTTTTAGACTCAAGCGTCGAGAACTCATCCGATTTGACGGGAACTGATGTCCAGCAGTTCCTCATCGATACTATCCAGAAGAATAAGAAGGACAGAGTATTCTTACTTAAAATCGAACAAGAATTGAATGTTTTAGTCAAAGACACCAAATCGACGGGTTATAAGTTCCCCGCAATGACTTCGTATAACCGAATGCTTGTCCATAGAGTGGCCGCACTCTTCGGCTTTGAGCACAACGTGGATATTCTCGGGACAGCTGTTGTCGTCAATAAGTGTAAAACAACTCGAATTCCTGACTTGAAATTCAAGGACTATATCAAAGAGGATTTACTTCACGAACCGAAAAAGTCGATTCTTAAACGAGATTCGGCTTCTCTCGAGGACGGAAGCAACGGCTCGAACGTGAGTTTTGACGGCAAAGAGAAGAGTCCCGACAGACAGACCGGTAGTGTTTGCGACGGAACTAGAAATAAGTCATTCGAGGAAAGAGAGGAGCGCTACGAGAAGGCGAGGGCAAGAATTTTCAATCAGGAGTCGTCCTCTTCTAACGAAGGCAATGACACCAACAATCATGTGATGACAGACACTATCGACTCAAATCATTGCGAAGAGAAAACTTCTAGTCCTCTAAGCAGTCAATCAGCGGATGAGTTGCCGAATAAACCAAACAGTTTGATGAACAATGAGGTGCGCGCCTGGAGTAGCACAGAGTCGGACAGTTCCGGTCGACTCCCGAAGGTTGAGGCAAAACAATCGGTTCAACCGAATGCTAAACCTCTCGATTTGGACACAAACTCGAAACCAAATGCTGTGAATGTTAGCGGAAAAGCGAGTCTTTTAGCTCCTGAAGGACAGACATATGACAGAAGTAAGTCTGCAAACCATTTGAAGAATAGGCCGCAAGTTTCCAAAGCCAGCAGTTTTGGAGGAATCTCACACAATATTGATAACAGTCTTAACACTAATTCAACACATCTATCAAAATCTGGCTCTTTTAACGCCACACCGATTGCTAACCAACCCATCAATGCCTCCAACAATATCAACACTAATCGCTCGAATACACCAAAGAATAAGACAGAATACGTTCACAAACAGCATCTGAACAACACTTATACGGGAGGCGGGAATCAACACTCAGATCAACGATACCAGTCGTCGCATCACTCAAACCCTAGTCATCACAACCGACACCACAATTGGCACCAAAACTCACATCCGAGGAATAATAACAGAATGGCACCCAATGTTCAATGGCCTCAACATATGAACCAAAACTACCCGCAGTTTGTATTACAACACCAACAAAATGGTATTTCACTGTCCATTGAGATTAAATGCTATGAATTAAGAATTTGTTTTATTTATAGACTTAAACACTAACCAAATGAAAGAACCACATTATCTCCACTCTGGACAACAAGTATTTTTATCGTCGATTGCAAACTATGGACAGCAAACAATGAATAACGAACCGCAACAGCATTTGAATGTAAATCTAATACAGTATATGATTGACATTTGTCTTATCATTGAAATGATTGTTTGTTTGAATAGCAACAGCCAATACGTCTAATATATCCCAATCCAAACGCATCACAATTACAGTCAGGTATTCAATCGTTTGGTGGTCTAATGAATGGCTCACATCCGCATCAATCTGTAGCCAATCAAATGAATTCAATGTCTTTTCCTCTCCAATCGTCTTCAAATGGAATCAATTTTGCTGGCAATCAATCAAATATTCAAAATAATACATTGATTTCGCCCCCAATTAATGGTCCGTTTGGGACACCTCTTCAGGTAGTGATTGCATATATTGTGACCAAATATTGTGATTGTTTTATTTGACTCGAAATGTATTTGTTCTGAAGGTTCCGTCAAATATGGGAAATGTATGGATCATTGGTAACGGACTGTACCCGCAGTCGACATCACCGATGATAGCGTGTCCACCGCCTGCTAATACTCCTCCGAGCGGTTCGATTGGTTCAAACATCGCTCCATTCGTAGGCATGTCTTACCAACACTATAGGCCGCAAATGAACTCAAACGCAGCTCAATCCAGAGCACCCCCACTGCTCAAAAACCATCCAATTATGACACCTCAGGCCAATCCGCACCGCATTGTCTCATCCAATGGCAACCAATATGTTCAGCAATCAGTGCCCGAAATGTTAGACATAATGGGTGCCAATAATTATGTAAACCGAGGCCCTGTTGTGCCGCAAGTGAATCAAATGCGGCGAATGCCCGTCAATATGAATCAAGGCCTCGACGTGCGACTCGTGGGCCAGCAATCGTCGCCACCTTTTCTACTACCAACTCCTCAAAGACAATACTTTCCAGTTGTGCCCAACGCTATGCCCGTCAGTCAACGACACTCGCATGAAAGCAATTCAAATAATGTGAACCAACGGCTCAAAAGTTCGTACAATAAGAACAAACCCAATAGATATACAAACAATAGGAATATATTAGTGGGAAATACAAACGCCCACCACTTCTCCAATACTTAGCCACTGTTAACACTTTAGGACTAAATTATATCCAAATTGTCGCTACCCTTGTATTCCTGCAGAAGGCAAACACCAAACAAGACCTTTATTACAACAATCGCAATGTTTTGTACAGATTATTAATAAAAAATATAAACAATTCGTTAATTATTTTATATTTAGTAAAATATTCTCATTATATATAATAGTTATACTGAAAGAACACTTAAGAACTTTAGAGCCATTGAAGACTTCATTTTTAACGATCTATTAATTTAGGTTAAATACAAATTGAATTAAATTATGCTTTGATTCGCTTTTATTTATGAAACTGTTATCTTAAATGTTAAAAATTTGTTATAAATTATTGATATTTTTATTTGCATTTAGTTCTCAGTTTTCAGTAAAAATCATTTTACTATTTATAATAAAAATTGTTTTCATATTTCTTTGTTTTATAATTGTTGT